TATCTATTTGTAAAATCAAAAAAGAAATTATGTACTTGTAATACATAGAGTTTTCATTACTGGTCCAAAAGGGAGGAATTCAGGCCCAGTGAAGAAATGCTGAATCAAAGCAAGACCAAAACCCAGCAAGGGAAAGTCCAAATCCTGGATAATAATGTCTCTATGTTTCCAGATTTGCTATCTATAGTATCCTTTCTCTCTGAGGGCTCATTCCATTCCTGTGTGCAGCTTTTCTTTGCCAATATCCCATGACTCTGTTACCTCTAATATCTTGAGATCTCCAATGCAATTCAGGCTTCATTTTCAAGCTTCACGAAATGGTTTCTCAGAGCCTCTTGCCCTCTCAGGACTTTATGCAGACATTGTCCTGCCACATGTTACCTGGCCTCAGTAATCCTCCATAACCATCGAGGAAGATCCCATAACCCCTTTACCCTCATAACTAAAGCCAGGACTATTTGGATAACACTGCCAAGTTCAGCTGTCAGATTGGAATGGAGCCTGTATCCTTGAATCACATTTGTAGCAGCTTTAGTTGGCAGTTGCTGTTTAGGAGCAGAAAATTCCTTAGGCCTTTTCCTTTCACAGTATTATAAGCTTAAGTGGGTGGGAAATTGCCCTTTTCCTTTGTTCCACTTCAGATCTCTGGCTTTTAACACAAACCTGGGGAACATTATAATTGTAGCTGTTCTGAGAAGGGTGGTGGGTTAAGGGACCTTTCTGCCACTCACAGGCTTGCTGAGTAAATAATGGAAATAGAAAATTGAGCTGAAGGAAAAGTAAGGCTTGCATTAGCAAAGCATGAAAGTGAATAGATTAGTATTTGGGGTTATTTGTGATGTAATTTAACAACATTGGCAATAGTAACATCAGTAAAGCCACAAATTCATAGGGAATAGGTTTCAGCAGCTGAAGCTTACTCTGTGGAGTAAGCTGATGCTTTAGTTGAGTCCAAGTTCTCTGTGGGTCCCCCCCCCCCCATTTTTTCCTGGTCATTTCCTTCACCCTTTCTTGACTCTTAGAGAGAACTTAAAGTGCTCAATATGCATATTACTTCTCTTGGTAAGACTCTAAACTCTAACTCTTCATTTATCAGGTTGGATGACACATTTTTCTGGTTTTGCTATGGTGACATTTGTGGAGCACTTCTTTGGAATAGCACCTGTTTGTTGGTGTCTACAATAGCACACTTCTTATAGTTCACATGTGTATGGGCAAAGGAACAACTCCCTATTTTCCGAAAGGGCTAGAAAACATACAAGTGTTTCTTCTCTTTCCTAGTGAATTGTAGAAGATGGTTCTGTTTGGAGCACTTGCAGGATTTGGAGGTGTAGTTCTGTTGGTGGAATGCTTTCCTTTCTTTCATGAAGTCCTGTGTTCATTGCCCATAAATGTGATGGTGCACACTTACAATCTCCACACTCAGGCAATGGAGGTAGGGGAAGAGCAGCTAAAGGCCACCCTCAACTAAATAGTAAATTTAAGGCCAGCCTGGACTTTGTGAGTCCCTCTCTCACAGAAGCAGAGGGTAAGAAAATTCTTGTCCTCTACATAAGAATGATTTCAAATTCTCTGCTCACATCCTAGCTTACTTCACATTGTCCTTTCTTTTATAGTACTTTAATTAGTCATGTGCTTCAATTTTCAGAGTAACATGCATAGGATGATTTAAGTTTAGTGGACTCTGTATTTCAAATAAGTCAACCATCACAGTAACCACAGATTTTTGTCTTGTATCATTTTTTATATTTTTTTTTTTTGTGTCCTCTTGACCATCTAAATTCAAAGACCTCCCTTTTCATCTCAGTTAGCTAATAAAATGTTCTGTGAGCTTTGTCTATAGAAAGACAAACACACTTGTATTCACCCAAGATAGGAAAGCAATGGTAGACCAAAGTATTGATTCTACCAAATTCTGATTTAGCAAACTAGTGAGTTTATTGGGGTTATTTAATGAGAGTATGGGTGATAGGTGTCTTACAGAGCATGGATCACTCAAAGGCATCACCAAAAGCCAACCCCAGCTGAGTGACAACTAGTGGGAGCTGTAATGCTGGAGCTGCATAGACAGGTCAGAAAGTCTCCTGGAGGCAACTCAAACTTGTTAGTGCTCTCTCCCGGGATCATTTACTACTTTTATAATGTTTGAGAGGGGCCTTGTGAATTTTGTTAGTTTCATGAATTTAATACTACTTGAAGGTTTCTTTCTTCTACTTCTGGAACCTTCATGAGTTTTTCTGTTCCCTCCAAGAATAAATTGCTACACAACACCTCACGCCTTCCTCCAGCTCTTATATTCTTTTTATTTCCTTTTTCTATAATGATCTAGGTGTTGGACAGAGTGATAGAGATGCCTGACAGTGACTAAGCATTGGGCCTCTGTGCCACAGCAACATCACTTGCTCTCAGGAGCTTTATCAGTAGTTATGAATTCTCAAATACACCCAGTCTACAAAAGGAGTTTTTATCCACTAATAATTCTTTGGGTAGAAACACAAATGTTCAGAAATAACTTGACACATATTACATTCATTCAACAAAACAACAGAGGTTCCTTCTCTACTAGGTCCTATATCCTACCCCCCATAGCCTTTTGCTCTGGCAAAAGTACCAGACAGGAGTTCCTCCTGTGGAATAGGCCTTAAATTCAATTGGAAAGGCAAGTGTTGTACTTAAAATAATCATAACATTATTGAACCTATGGGTGTATCCTGTCTGGCATTTTGGTAATATGCTTTTTTTTTTAAACTCCTTGATTGTTTCTGTAATTTTATTATAGCCCCTAGGACTATAATATCACAGCATTACTTGAGGAAGCAACCTTACACAAGTTCTATTTCTATCAACCTGTTTTTTGTAGTTACCATAGATTGAATAAGAAAACTGACTCGAGCTGTGTAGTGGTGATGCATGCCTTTAATCCCAGCACTTTTGAGGCAGAGGCAGGCGGGTCTCTGTCAATTTGAGAACAGACTGGTCTCCAGAATGAGTTCTAGGACAGCCTAGAGCGGTTATAGAGAGATACTTTGTCTCCAAAAAAAAAAAAAAGAAAGAAAGAAAGAAAGAAAGAAAAGAAAACTGAATGCTTTGAAAAGCCAATACTATAATCATTGCACATGTCCTGTATTCACTGTGTTCCCATTGATTCTCAGTTGTCTGTGTGTGTGTGTGTTTGTATGAATTGAGGCTATTATCATTAGAGAAATACAAATAAGGTAATTGGGTAATTTTTAATTTCAGTATTAATAATATTTTTATACTTTAAAATTTTCATACAGTGTATTTGGATCATGTTTGTCCTCAGCTTCTTCTCCTAACTCCTCCCAAGTTGACCCCCACATCCTTATCCCCAGGCCCCAATTTTATGTTCTAATTTTTTGTGTATTTGTTTTGTTGTTGTTTTATAAGGGTCTGTGACTCCAATTTGTGCTGCCCAGTTGTGTTGACATTTACTGGAGCATGATCAACCTACTAGGAGCCATATCCTTAAAGAAAACTAACTGTCCCTTCCCCAGAAGCCACTAGCTATCCATGGGTTTAGGCTCAAGAATTCACTCCCACACCATGCTATCGTACTGGCTAGCTCAACTTCGTGCAGATCTTGTACACACAAGCAGAGCTGCTGAGTTCATGAGTACAGCAGTCCTGTCATATGAGAAGACAGTTTGCTCAGGTCCTCTTTAGCCTATGGCTCTTAAAAATCTTTCTACTATGGCTTTTGAGAAGGTTCCCAAGTAATTGTTTGTGGCAGTTACTCAAACTATTTCCTGGATGATGTGATATTTTGGTTAAGTGCTCCAACATTTATGGAAAATATTGCCCTAGCAGCATAGAAATGACCTTTTTTTTGAACCATTCACCAAATTGCTAAACAGTGTTCTGTGTAAAATGAGTGTCTCTGGTATTCACATCTCTTGAGCTTAAATTAGGAGATTGCTTCCAGCACATAATTTGACAGATCTTATCCCAATTGAGACTACTTTGTTTTATTCTACAAGGGCATTCTTTATTTGTGTCCCTCAGAACTCCTGGTGGTACTCTGCCCTAAGGACAGGACTGTACTGTCCCTTCCCTACAGCTGTGGTCACCAGTGCTGATAACCTGTCATGGTATCATATATCTGTGGTGCTCAGGATATAATAGTTAACGTAAAATAATTTGTTTATCCCCCAAGTTATTAGGTGCTGTGGATATTGAGAAGACTTTATCTTATTTGAAATACTGTTAGGACTTACTAAACTGTTCATTGTATGTTTTTACGTGTATTTTAATGATAGAACTGTAGGTATCTGTTCTCCAATACTATTTGAGTGCTTGTATAATGGTTTACCTTTCATGAACTCTTAGGACTTCTGTGTACTCTAACCTCTGAGTATTTGTTACTTTTTTCATCCTGATAAGGTAGCTCTGCATGTCTAGTATGATGCACAGCAAATATTGTAGCTACAAGACCAGGAACCTGTGGCAACTGACTACCTGGACTTGAGCTGGGTAGCCAGTACCCAATAAAATAGCTGATCATGAAGCCCCAGACAGTGACTTCTGTCATAAGACACAGAGGGTAGTTCTTCAGTGTTTTAATATAACCCCCCACCCTAATACAAGCATACATTTTACATTGGTACAACATGTGTCCATAACTATTATTGCATTGGTTCACCTTAGTTTATCCTCTAATTTGCTCAGATATTTACTGGAGCAAGTGACATGATCAGTTTGATAGATGAGAAATTGGAGGAGTTAAAATCTATGTTATTTGGCCAATTCTGTAAGAAAGATACTATTGGAGTCCAGATCAAATTCTACCCTTTAAAATCCATACTCCAGACACCCAGCAGTCCATGAACTTCCCTGCATTAATTTCCTTTTCTGTCACTGGTGCAGAGTTTCTGACCAGAACAGGTGAGACAGGTATAGATATTTGTTCACAGAATGTGTAGAATGCTTCTAAATGTGATTTTTCTCTCTCCCCCGCCCCATGTTCTGTTTTCAACTTCTAGGCAGAAAATCTGGTGTATTAACTGTGAAAATCCTAGAGCTCCATGAGGAATGTACCATGCAAGTTGCACTATGTGAGCAATTAGCAGGACCACCAACCACCAGTTCTCCCAGGGGAATATGTCCTAGACTGGGAGCCTGCCTGAAGGTTCTTTTTACCAGAGAGACTGCAGACCACCTAAGGGGGCATCTTCAGGACATCATTTATATCTTCCCTCCTTGGTGAGTACAACAAACTGAGAACAACAGTCAACTGTGCATCTGCCTCATAGTGGAAGACTAGGAAAAATTCTGTGACTATTAGAGAAATGCTAAGGGAGGAAAGCCAGGGTGTGACGTGGATCTTCTGTGACAGAAGTACTGAATTTTGTCCTTTTTGAACCATAGGTGTTATAATTTGGATTTAGGGAGTAGGAAAAACAACCACTTGAGGATTCTTGTCCAAAGGATATGTTTGTGTGATTTTTGATCTGGCCTTTTTTTTTTTTTTTTTTTTTTTTTTTTTTTTGTTGTTCTTATTCTTCTTGGTAAAATAGGTGTATTAAGAGGTCTTATGAGACAATAGGGAATAGACAATAGGGAAATATAAAAAGAATGGATTAAAACAACATAGTTTGAACTCTAGGAGCATAAATAATTATTACTGAACCAAAATTTGCTAGCAATTCTAATAATGTTTGCTTTCTTGTGCTTGCAAGATTAGTTTTTTTTGTTTTTTTTTTAGTTTAAAGATAGTTTTATTATTATTAGAATTTCATACATTTTTTTATGCATATAGAGTATTTTTTATTTAATTTTATATAACAAAGTCCAATTAAATGAAAACAAACATTTATACACAATATTTGGGAATTTGGGCGTCGTTCTTTCCAAACTACTTCCTGCTAGTAAGGGGCGCTGTCTTGGGGGATTCGAAGAAGATTCAGATATCCTAGCTGTAGTCTGTAGGGCTGTTTTGTCCAGCTGTTTGGAATGTAGGATCAGCTTGTACTCTGTTTCAGGCGGTCTGGTGTGATCAAACCACATTAGTCTGGAAGGAATCCACATCTTTTCATTTTCTGTGGAAACAAAAATAGAAATACTTTTCCCCAGTAACTTGTTCTTCAACTTAAATTTTGGAGTCAAAGCGTTTTTTTTTTTTTTTTTTTTTTTTTTTTTTTATTATTTTACATGTCGATCCCAGTTCCCCCTCCCTCCCTCCCTCCCCCCAAGCCTTCCCTCCCTCCTTCCCTCCCTTTTGCCCTCTCTACCCTCTCCCATGCACTCTAAACACCCTCCCCTCCCAACCCCCCACCACAATACAATATGTAGGGGAATGCCATCCAGTTGGGGTCATGTAGATCTGACAGGTCCTGTGAAGTAGGGACTAGGGCTTCTCTCCTATCTCTAGAATAAGGCAGTTATCCCTCCATGGGGGATATGTTTGCAAAGTCCTTTTGTGCACCAGGGATACATCCTGGCTCCACTGTCTGAGGTCTCTTAGACTGCTCAGACCTTCTGGCTGAGACCCATATTCAGGGGGGTCCGAGTCAGACCCCTGTTGGCTTCCCAGCTATCAGTCTAGTGGCCCTTAGCTCCTCCTTGTTCAGGTAAGCTGTCTCTATGTACTTCTACCGCATGGTCTTGTCCTCTCCATCTGCTTCTGGGTTCTAGTTTGACTCAGTGTTTATGTATGGGTGTTTGCTCCTGTTTTCAACAGGCATTAGTTGAGGACTCCATGGAGAAGTTAGTTGTTGATCTCACTCTCCGGGAAGGGTATTTATGATAGCCTTTCCACGGAAGCTGAGATTGTTAGTTGGGAGCAGTCTTGTAGTTCCCTCGACCTTTCTTTGTGTTCAACTTTATCTTCAATCCAATATTGGCTCCCTCTTTTATGTTCTCTCTCTCTGTCTCTGTCTCTCTCTCTCTCTTTCCTATTTTCCATTCCTAACCAGGCTCAATCCTCCTGGTCGCACATGCCTTCCTCTCCTCCCTCTCATTTTCTCCTACTTCTCTCTCCATTAGCTGTCCTCCCCCACTATACCTGAGGTCTGGGGGACTTGTCCCTTCCCAGTTCTGTGAGGGACTTTATATGAATCTCTTAGAATACAACTTGTATCCTAGTTCCTCTGGTGATGTGAATTATAGGCTGGTGATCATTTGATCTAGGTCTAAAATCCATATATGAGTGAGTACATACTGTGTTCCTCTTTCTGTGACTGGGTTACCTCATTCAAGATTAGTTTTTACAATGAAAAAAAAATCAACTTTTTTGCTTTGAAGGATATTAATTATTAACTTTATTGGTAAAAAGTTTCATCTATGTGATTCTTAGATTATTTGATTTTTAATTGGCTACAGATGTTAAACATTAAGCTTACCTGTAAGCAGGTGTTACAACTCTGGAGCTGTAAAGAGATAACTCTGAAGGCTGGAACTGCAATAGGACTACTCTGGAGGGAAAGCTATCCTGACTTGTCTGGAAGTCAGGCTGTACCTGAAGTTGTAATAGGACAGCTTTGTAGGCTAGATAAGGTATCCTGACTTATTGGGACGTCAGACTGTACTTGAAGCTGGGGTGTGGTAGGGAATGGCATCCCCACAGGATATGGCAATCCTGCTCCTTTCCTAGAGAGAGCTGTTACAACTGAGCTCTATTTGGTTGCCCCAAGCGAACATCCTAGCAGAGCCATCCACTTCTTTTTTTCTGTTCAGGCCCATGATGTTATTTCTGCTTCACTTAGCTAAAGGGAAGGTTCCTGCAGAAATATAGCAATCAGGTTCGTCAGCAAATTACTTTTTCTGCTCAACTTCCAAAAGAGTTTCCTAGCAGATGTAAATGTTTCTTCTGGCTTTTCTGCTCAGCCCCCCTCTCCCCCCCAAGGGAATGTCTCGGCAAAGATTCTTATTTTTTTCTGTGCTGACAGAAGATCTTCACCTAAAAATCTATTAAGAAAGAGATTTATTTGGGAAGGAGGAGTCTAGGAGAGTGACTGCCTTTGCCGGGGTGGTAAAGGACAACCAGCAACTGAACTGGTAGGGGGACTCATATAGGGCTTTTTAGAGGTGGAGTTTTCCTAGGAGATTTTTCTGCTCAGGGATTGGTTAGTTTTCCTGATCAGGGATTGGTTAGTTTAGTTAGTCAGGGGCAGAGTTGGCTCTGGTTGCAGGGCCAAACTGTTTCTTTCATTGGCCCTTTTTAGCTGTTTTGCTCTATTTTGGGGGCTAAGGGAATGTGTTTCATAGGGTCTGGGCTCAGGGCTAAAAGTGTTTCTTTCCCTGTCTCAGATTTCAGATCTAGGATGTGTTTCTTTCACTAGCTCTGGGTTCAGGGTCAGGGTACTAGATTTCATTCTCATGGGTTGGTTGGTTCTTTGGCTGACCCTTTTACCCTAATTAATGTATATTAGTTATTAACTATTGGTAAAATGTTTCATCTGTGAAATTCTTACAATATTGGATTTGGGATTGGCTACAGATGTTAAACATTAAGCTTACCTTCCACAGGAGGAGGTCTTTTAGAGCATCATGGCCAGTGATCATTTCTGGTATACAGTGACCTCTTCATGATTCTTAGGATCTTGTGTGAAAGTTGTTACCTTCTTTTTTTAGATTTATTTATTATGTACACAGTGTTCTGTCTACATGTATGTCTGCATGTCAGAAGAGGGCACCAGCTCTCATTATAGATGGTTGTGAGCCACCATGGGTGCTGGGAATTGAACTCAGGACCTCTGGAAGAGCAGCCAGTGCTCTTCACCTCTGAGCCATCTCTCCAGCTCTCTTGTTACCTTCTAATACTTTTGCCCATGGATATTTTTGTTTTTATTCTTTGAGTATTTTTTGCTACCTAATTGTAGTGTAGACTTAAAAGGAGGGTTGGGGAGAATCTTGTATTTGACCCAGAAATGTCATGTGAAGTCTAGTTGTTTTTATATGCTGTGCCATGCTGTTAAGAAATGGATTTCCTCTCAAGGAAAAGAATCCAGAATGCTTGTGATAACCAGGGCAAGTGGCATCATATTTGAATGCTGTCATCAGGCATTTTGGCAAACCTACAGATGTGAAAGTATGTGAAATAAAGGTAATGTCATGAATTTCCTCAGAGTCCCTTGGTGTGGTTTTCTTAAAATGGCCACATCAAAAGAAATCAGGGTTAGGGGTTGAGCTCAGTACTGAAGCACCTGCCTGGCATTACCTACTACTGGGAGTGGGGAGGGAAGAAGGTGGGTGGATGGGAGGGAGATAGGGAGAGAGCAAGTTAGATATATAACTATAATCAGTTGCTAGGACCTTCAATATATTACCTACTTTTGTTTAAAAAGCTTGCTTAACCCTTTGTCTTCATTTTTCTATTGGGATAAGACAGCATAAAAATTTTATTTGAGATTTCTAGTTTCAGAGGATTAGAGTTCATTGCCATCATGGCAGGTAGCGTGACAGCAAGCAGGCAGGCATCACACTGACAAAGTAACTTTGAGATCTCATGAGACAGAGACAGAATGGAAGGGATTTTTGAAACTTTAAAGCCGTCCCCCACTGACACACCTTCTCCTAAGGCCATATTTCCTAAGTCTTCCCAATCATTTCCACCAACTAGGGATCAAGAATTCAAATGTGTTAGTTCTTGGAGTCCATTCTCCTTCAAGCCACCACACCCTTAAAATCCACACAGCCTAAATAGCCATCAGCATGAAGTAAATTAAACTATTTGCTGTACATGTCTGGAATGTACAGTGATTTAATTCAATGATAGTGGTAGATGATATCTCCATTTCTAGAACAATGTCCCTATCACAAAACAGGTCAGTGTTCAAGGTCCCCCAGGGAAGGAGAAGCCATAATATTCATAGACAGATGAGATAGTCGGATCTCCTGGGCTGTACAAGCAGCACTATTACCTTGGTCATCCTCTCAATGGCAGCCAATAAATTCGTACAGCTGCTTAGTCTGTTTGGGCTACCTTAACAAAATGCTAACTCATCTTGTTAAGCAATAGAAATGTATTTCTCCCAATTATGTAAGATAATGGCCAAGGTCAAGTTACCAGAAAGATAGATTTCCTCTGAATTGTCTACTTGGCCATTGTAACATAACCCACTTGGTGTCATCTTTCAGGATCTTTCCTGTGTGTGTCTACCCCTGATGTCTATCCATGTACAGACTTTTCATTGTCTTAGGACCTGTCAGATTAAGTTGATCTCACACTGCAGCTCACTTTGACTTAACTACCTTTTAGTGCC